GGATGGCGGAGCTGCTACCTCCCTTGCTGGGGAGAGACTGAGTAGCCAGTAGACTCCTATATCTAGAGGAGTACCAAGGCAGGATTGCAAGGTACCAGCAGGGATTTGGACATTCCAAGGATCTGCCCAGGAATCAAACACAATGCGGCCTGCAGGTAGGCCTCGAGCAGTGGCAGGCGTCCCTGGGGCTACCAACCAAAAATTTTAAAGTAAAGTGCCATCACGGGTCCTCGGACAGTTGCACGTTTGGATGCGGCCTACGTAGAGGATCCTAGCGCACGTTTCGCACCCCCCTTTTGATCAAAAATTTTTTTTTGTATTTAAAATAGGAGGCTGTTGCACAGCAGGGCCTAGCCCAGAAGCCAATTAGCCAAAAGTTGAACGCCAGGCAGCTACCCCTGCCGGACGGACCGGGGAAGGGGGATGGCAGAGCTGCTAACTCGCCTGCTGGGGGAAGGGCTACAGAGCCAACTAACCCTGGTTAGCCTGATAGAAACTAAGCGCAAACAGGCAAGGATATAGGCAGTCCGGAGTCTGCCTATAAAACATTAAGAAAAACCCTGTTATAGGCCTCTGAAAAATGGCGCCCGGCCATGCGGCCACACACAAGATGGCGGCGACTCCTGCCACTCCCAAGATGGCTGACGCCACAGGGAGCCCAAAATGGAGGGCGCAATGACGAGGCAATCCCCAGCGGCGGCTATCACCCAGGAGAAGTTAAAAAGGCCCGGAGGCCACAAAGAAGTACCTGGGAGAGGCAGGGAAGCATCTCCCTGGGTTAGATGGCGTTCGTGGGGGGGAAACGGCGAAAGAACAAAACCAGGCAGGAAAGAAACGATGCAGCTTCGCACGGAGCGAAAAGGCGGCAATCGGAGGGGGGGGGGCAGCGCTCGAAGCGCTGGATTCTCCCTTAAAAGGATAGTGAAACAATTCCCCTTAGAAGAAAAAGGCTCCCTAGGGAGCTCAAACCTCAGTTTCCTGCGCTGTCTGAGAGTCCAAGTTGATCAAAAAAAAGAAAACACGAGGTGCTAGAACGACCAGGAGCAAAAGGAAAACCAGCCTGACTGCCACGAGGCTGAGCAAAAAACTGGGGCGCGCCCGGAGGACCACGTGATGGTGAGAGGCGTGCCTCAATCTCAAGCTCAGCCTGTGAGAGCCGAGACTGGAGCTCCTCCCAACCTGGACACTCGAGACAGCTCTATGGAAAACTCCTTAGCATCAACGCGTGTTAATAATAATATACAAAATACTAATGCTTTGATGGTCATTTCGAAAAATCCTTTCTTAGTGAGCACCTAGAAGCCAAGAGGAACATACGTGCCAAATTTCAAGTTTGTAGGCTTTACGCTTCTGGAGATTTTGTGATGATGCATGAGTGGTATTTCGCTTTTATATATATATCGATTTGTGCTCCAGTGGGAAAAGATTAATCACTGTTCTCACAATCCGTGATATCTGCACTTGCGATGGAAGCAGATTTCATCTTTGGTTACCTAATAATACTCATGTTTATACAGTATAACATCCCAAATGCTTGGACTTTTATTGCTGACTGCATTCCACCCCTATTAGATTAGGTGCATGCCACTGAGGCTGAGGTTGACAATCTATTGCCCATATTTTGTTGACTACATATCCTGTCTTAGGCATGATAAGTTTGTTTTTGCTGTTTTTTCATCTGTCTCTTCTGCCTTGGGAGACTTTTTCAGCTTTTCTTCTAGTCACATTTCCACATTATGCTTATATAGATTTATTATTAAGAATAGAATAGAATAGAATTTTTTATTGGCCTTGTGATTGGATACACAAGGAATTTGTCTTGGTGCAATGACTGCTAGTCCTTTCCCTGAGTGAGTATGGCAAATAAGCTATCTCTGGTATTTTTGCCCTAGGTGGCATGATGTAGGAACACAGGGCTATGATTTCATTTGGTTTCATTAAACCATAGAATCATTTTTCTTAACTTTCTTTGGCTTGATTATCAGGTTTCTAGTTTAATGATGCAACAGTCCAATATTTATGTATCATGCCTAAATGAACTATAGTCAGCATTTTAATCATGCATATAGGAGAAACAGACAAATTTAATGCATAATCATGAACTTGGATAAACAATGTGCAAATCTACCCCTTTTCCCCCTATAAGGGACTACTTGATCAGGAACAGTTGTAATTTCTTCTGTCATTTTTTAAAAAATACCTTAAATACGTAACTCTGGACAGCAAACAATAGAAAATCTGTATAAAACTATAATAAATCCAAAGCAAAGAAAACCTGAGGCATTATGATTGCACAAAAATAGACAAATGTACGTTGAGCTTGAACTCCACTAACATAACCCTAATGACCTAGCCCTAACTCCCTAGTTCCTCACAGCCTTTCAGAGGGTCAAGGTCTTCTGAATCTGAGATGTGTGATAAGGCATGCCTGCTTAGTCCCACAAGATGGCACTATTTAGTAGTGGGAACCTAAGTATGCCCATCGGTTAGATCATTTTCTTTGCCCAGTCTCTGCTTTTGCCAGTTACCTGGTGTGAGAACATTTATTTAGTGAATAATATGAGTGACCAAAAAAAAATTCCTTCTCCCATGAGTGTGGTCCCAAAGCTTCCTATTCCCAGTTGGACAATTTTCTTTTCACCTCATAATAGGATAAATTTGGAGTTAGTGGTAATCTTCAGCTCTAACCCTTCACAGCATTTCTATTAATGATGTGGAAAACCAATAGCAGTTCTTCAGGGGGGTTGAATAGTCTTAAAAGAGTTGGAAAATTTTGCTTTAAGCGAAGTTTTTTCAGGACATTTTTCATAGCATTTAGTGATGTGAATTAGCATTGATTCCTGGTGACTTCATAACGTTCTTATTGTTTTCTTGATATCAGTAGAGAAGTGATTTGCTGTTGCCATTTTCTGGGATATTTTTGACTTTCCAATCTAGTGTAAAGCCCTGGGTGGTTTTTCTGGTGGTTTCCTATCCAAGTAGTAACCAGAGGTGATGCTTATAGATTTTAAAGATAATCTAGAACAGGGGTCGCCAACCTTTTGGATCCCAGGGACCATCAAATTCATACTTTTAAATCCCGGGTACCACTAATACGATTTTTTTTAAAAAGCTAATATATTTAATATAAAAAATGTATATTAAATATAAATTTAATAATTATATTAAATTTAATATAAAAATATAAAAAAATTACACACACACACACACACACATTTAATTATAACAAAAATGTAAATGCTTAATGATAACAAAATAAAAGGTTCCAGGCTGGAAGCTTCCCCCCACCTGTACCTTCCAAAGAGACAGAAGAGCCTTTCAGATGCCAGGTGGAGGATTGAGAGAGCTCAGATCTGCAGCCAAGGAAAAGCTGGGGGAGGGAGGTGGCTCTTCCAGCCTCACCTGGAGACAGGCAAGGAAAGGTGTCCCTGGGGGCACTTCGCTCACTTTAGCACTTCACTGCCAAACCCAGCCACAGCCAGTGATTATTTGGGGGAGGGGGAGGCGGGGGAGAGAGAGAGCATCTCTCGCATTACCAGGGGAGGAAAGGAGGTGAAATAAAATTCAACTCTTTCACCGAGACCTACAAAACGCCAATCTACCGCGTTCCAGGAGATCTTAAAAAACACCAAACGCTCCCATTTGCAGTTCCTGCGCCTCCTGGCTCAGGTCCCTGAGATGTACGCTCCCACATGCAATGGCGGCAACAACAGTCCCCTCCCACAGCGCCCGCTGTCAGCTCTCCCCATTCGTTCTCTAGCTTTGAATTGCTCCCAGCTCTCTTTCCACCCCCCCGCGCCCATGTGCAGGTAGGAAAGGAAAGGGAGACGGAGCTGTGCGCAGCTCTCCGCTTTTCCAGCCCTTGCTGCCTCTCCCAACATCAAAGTCTCGGAAACGCAGGCAAAGCCGCCACAGTGGTAGCGCCCTGAGTTGCTTGCTTCTCCACTACTGCCTCCTCCTCCTCCAGCTCCTCCTTCTCTGGGTAGGGCGATTCTTAACTAGCTGAGCATGCTAAGGCAACTCAGGATGCTACCGCTGCGACGGTTTTGCCTGTGTCTCCGAGGCTTCAATGTTGGGAGATGCAGCGAGGGCTGGAAAAGCGGAGAGCTGCACTCTGTCTCCCTTTCCTTTCCTGCCTGCACGTGGGGGAGAGGGGGAAGGAAAGAGAGGAGGAAGCAATTCAAAGCTAGAGATCTTAACAGGGAGAACTAACAGTGGGCGCTGGGGGTGGGGACTGTTGTTGCTGCCACCACCGCCGCGTGTGGGAGCTGGTTGATGCATGCATCTCAGGGACCTGACTTCCGGGTCCCTAGAAGAGCCGGGAGGTGAGAGAACTGCGTGGCCCAGATTAATTGCTTTGGGGGACCATTTCTTCTGCAGCCCAGCAAAAATTCTCCACGGCCCACCAGTGGGCTGCGGCCCACCGGCTGGCGACCGCTGATCTAGAAGGTGCTACATGCTACAACAATAGTTTGAGAAGCAGTTTCTTATAAATGTAAATAATGCAATATATTCCACAACCTCATAGGACAATAAGTAAGAGGTTCAGTTTGTATTTCAGATTTATTTGTTTTCTTTCACCTCTCTTGTTAATTATTTTGCAAAGATAGATGATAATAGCTATCTCCCATGCACATTAGCTATACCTTCCCTGACATGGTGTTAAGAGCTTTACCTTAAGGTAACTTTTTCCTAATAAGGATAAGAACTAAATTTATTATTCTAAATGCTCAGCATATGAAATTATTGTAGTTGTATCAAGATTGGTTACTGCTGAAAGCAAAGTTCTCATTGGAGTGAATTCCAGCCTATGCTACTTGAACAAGTTTCCATTGTTTCTGTTTCATTACTTACAAGATGAAAAATACAGGATAGTTTTGTCTAATTGCATATTAGCAATAAAATGTTAGATTATACTTCCTTTAACTTAATAAATTTTAATGCTTTTATTATCTGATTAACTGTTCTTTGAAGTACTCAATATATTACTTGTCTTTCAGGAGCTACAAAATACACAGATAAAGACAATGGAGGAATGCTTGTGTGGTCTCCTTATCATAGTATTTCTGATGCCAAATGTAAGTTTGATAAACTGCATTAAATAGAATCCTGGGAATTAATATGTATAAGGATTATATCACAGATTATAAGTCACAACTTATAAAACATTTCATTGCACAAATTAATGCAAAATTGATACGCAGGTGATACAAACATAGTTTATATATACATACATACACATACACATATAATCAGTCAACAATCAAATTGCCTCTTTGTGGATATTGTATTGATTTCTATTTGAAAATGCTACTTGGAATTTTATAATGTGCAGAGCATCACTTGCTAAAAAGAACATCAGTTTTTTTAATGTTAAAATATTTTTTAAAAGGTACATCTTGAGTGCTACTACTATTTTGTGTTTTGACCTCAGTGCAATTAATAAGTTAAATTTTCAGAATATAATTGACCTGTCCACCAAAAATTATCCAAGGGCATTGGTACTTACCTGATACGCCCGTTCTCTGTGAGCTGTGAAGAGCATCCAGAAGTGGAGGTGCTTCAGTCTCTTCTGGAAAGGCTGGGCTTAAAACTCTGGGACGCTCCTCCTCCTCCACGGGACACCTCCTCAGCGTCCCCCAGTTTTGCGAAGACTGAGTGCCAAAGTCCAGGACTCATCACCTAATCTAGATCCCTGACTGGAACGGAACCCCACCAGACAGAAAGAAATGGGTGGGGCTGGATGCTCTTCACAGCTCACAGAGAACGGGCATATCAGGTAAGTACCAACGCCCTTTCTCCCATGAGCTGTTCAGAGCATCCAGAAGTGGGACATACCAAAGCTTGGCCTGTCCTTAGGGAGGGATGCCGTTTGGATCGAAATCCACTCCTAAACTCTATGGACCCTCTGCAGGACTCTTCTGCCAAATGAAGCGTCCGTTGAGGCATAGACATCAATTTTATAATTTCTGACAAAGGGAGATGGTGAAGCCCAAGTTGCCGCTCTGCAAATCTCATCTATGGAAGCCCGTGTGGCCCATGCTGCTGTTGTTGCCACACCTTGTTGAGTGAGCTGTAATGCCTTTAGGAACTGAGATGGACTGGCATTCGTAACTTTTAGCTATGGCGGCTCTCAACCATCTACCGATGGTCGTTGACAACACCTTTTGCCCTAAAGTGGATGGGTTGAAGGATAGGAATAGAGCCTCAGATTTTTGAAATGCCGCTGCGCGGTCTAGATAGATGCTTAAGGCCCTTCGAACGTCAAGTCGATGCCATTGATGCTCCAGTCTATGAGATGGTTTCGGACAAAAATTTGGAAGCACCAACTCCTGCGCTCTGTAGAAGGCTGAATTTAGTTTAGGAGTGAACGATGGATCCAATTGGAGAATCACTCTGTCCGCATGAAATGCGCACAGGTCGTTTCTCATTGACAGTGCCACCAATTCGGAAATCCTCCTTGCTGATGTGATTGCAATTAGGAAGGCCACCTTATATGTCAGGAATTTAAGACTAGCGGTTCTTAAAGGCTCGAACGGGCCAGTTGTAAGTGCGGTTAACACCTTGTTGAGGTCCCAGGTGGGATAGCGATGAATTACAGGAGGTCGTAAGTTTGCAGCACCCTTAAGAAAGCTGCGGACATGTGGATGGTGCGCTATGGAACGGCGGTCACCTCAGGCTATCACCAAGGCTAAAGCCGCCACCTGTCTGCGTAAAGTATTTGGAGATAGGCCCTTGGTCAACCCTTCCTGTAAAAAGTCCAATAATTGTCCTATTGATGGGGCAGTTGGGTCAATCTTAGACCCCTGGCACCAGCGACAGAAGGCGGACCACATGGCCTCATATGTACAATTTGTTGAGGACCGTCTGGGTGCTTGACTGGTGGCAATAGCATCCTCTGAAATCTGTTGGGCCCTTAAATGGCTCTGCTCAACCTCCATATGGCTAGACTGAGCCATTGGGTTCGGGTGAAGTATCGGCCCTTGGGAGAGGGAAACCTTCGATGGTGGAATTTTCCAAGGTTGTTCTCCCGACAGGTCCTGTAAATCTGCGAACCACGTTCGCCTGGGCCAGTAAGGGGTGACCAATATCAATTCCGCTCGTTCCTCCAATAACTTCTGGATCAACATGGGTATTTCCGGGAGCGGAGGAAACACATATGGAAGTCCGGGAGGCCGCTGACATTGCAGGGCATTGACGGCCTCCGCCCCCTGAGTCGAGTACCTTGAAATATACTGGGGCAATTGGGCGTTGAGAGGAGAAGCAAATAGATCGCTCACCGGTTGCCCAAACCTCCGCACTGCTTCCTGGAAGACAGATGGGTGTAGGCGCCACTCTGCCTGATCTATCGTGGCCCTGCTGAGCCAGTCCGCTTGTGTGTTTAAGGCCCCTGCTATGTGTTCTGCCTTGAGCGAAAACAGATTGGCCTCGGCCCACTTGAACAACTTGGCCGTCTCCAGCATCAGAAGTTTGGAGTGGGTACCCCCCTGTCTGTTTACATGGGCCTTGGTTGTGATATTGTCTGTCAAGACCAGAACATGGCATGATTGGAAAAGGTATAAAACTGCGTAACGCCAGATGAACTGCTCGCAGCTCCAACAGGTTGATGCTTTGTGATTGTTCGGAAATAGTTCAAATTCCCTGCGCAGTGTGGGATTGGAAGTGAGCTCCCCATCCTATCAGGCTGGCATGGGTTGTGATCGTTGTCCTGTAAGATTCCTTGAAAGGACACCCCTTGTTTATCGTTTTTTCCGACCACCAGCGGAGCGATCGGAGAACATTGTGTGGTACCTTTATCCGGACGTTGGAAGTGGCTCTTCCGGATTGCTGGAAAGGTAGCAGGAACCATTACAGCTCTCTAGAATGGAATCGAGCCCGAGGCACAATGGAAATACAAGAAATCAGTTTCCCTAACAGTTGAGACAGCACTGCCAGGGAAACTCTCTTTAAGGCTGATCTCTCTGGCCAAAGACTGGATACTGTTTAACCTGTCCTGAGAGAGAAAGACCTTGCCCTCCATGGTATCTATCACTGCCCCTAAATGAACTAACCTAGTTGAGGGGATCAAATGGCTTTTATCCCAATTTATGGAAAAGCCATGACCCTGAAGGGTCTCCAGAGTAATCTTGGTATCCAATTTTGCTTGATGTCTGGAAGATGACAAAATTAAAATATCATCCAGATAACATTGTAAGCAAATAGATTTGATCCTGAGTGAGGCAGCCAAAGCCGCGAGAACCTTGGTAAAAGTCCTAGGGGCCGAAGCCAGACCGAATGGTAGGGCGATATATTCGTAGTGCCGATCACAATAGCAAAATCTAAGATATTTGTAGTGAGCAGGTCTAATTGGTATATGTAGATAAGCCTCTGTGAGATCTATAGAGGTCAGGACATTGTTCTCTCTGATGCTGAGCAGAATGGACTGGAGAGTAGTCATCTTGAATTTTCGATAAACCAATGATCTGTTCAGACGTTTGCGGTCCAGAATTGCCCTCCAGCCCCCCGAACTCTTTGGGACCACAAACAATAGAGAGTAACAGCCTTGACCCCGCTGTTCAGATGGGACCTCTCTAATGGCCCGAATATGTAGAAGATGATTGATAGCCTCCTGCATCAACACCCTCTTAATGGGGTCCGTGGACCTAGGGCTCCTAATGAAAAAGTTTGGGGGGGAGGATTGAAACTCTAGCATCAAACCAAACCTAATAGTGTCCTTGACCCATGCATCAGAGGTGGAGCTGTCCCATTGATCAGCAAACAATTTTAGCTGCCCTCCAGTGGGAACTGCTGTCAAGGACTCACTTGAGGCGATGAAAAAATTGGCCTCTGGTTTCTTCTGTTTTGGCCTCCCCGCTGACCTCTTTCGGAAGATTCAGACCTATCCTGTCTAAAACTGGGCCTGTAGCCTGATGTTCTCTGAGATCTGGGAACATATGGGCCTTGATAGTAGGGCCAAAAGGAACCCCTTCAAAATGCCTGGGGCGTTCTGTTTTCAGACCTCCGAAAGAGAGAGGGAAGCACTTTTTTCTTGTTTCTATTCTCTGTAAGGAGGGGCTCCAAGACACTGCCAAATAATTTATCCCCCGATATTGGGGCTGATGCCAACTTGCATTTATGCTTGGTATCCACCTGCCAATGCCTGAGCCATAGCAGTCTCCGTGCTGATACGTGAGATGCTATGGTCCTAGACGAGAATTTGACTGCATTAAAAGTGGCGTCGGCGGAGAATTCTGCTGCTGCAATAATTTTAGCTATGTCCTGGTGGGCTCTTACATTTGACGCCGGCAATATATCCCACAAGTGGAAGAGCCATCGTAGGGAGGACCGTGTATAAAAGGATGCCACTGTAGCTGCCCTAATGGCCCAGGCGTCAGAAACGTGTGCCCTACGGAGTGTCAACTCTGCTCTCTTTTCTTCCGGTCTCAGGGCTTCCTCAGCCTCGTTGGGAAAGGTTGAAGAAGAGGCCAGTGCCACAATGGGCTCATCCACCTCTGGCATTTTGAGAAAATTTGAAAACTCTGGTGCCAAATTATAATATCGTTTATCATACCCTGTTGGGGCTGGGTATGATGCTGCTGATGCCCGTTAATTTTGTACTAATTCAGCAAACATACGAGGGGCAGGAATAGTTTCTGCCTCATTAGCCGGTTGTGAGAATATTAGATCCTTGGATTTGTCCTGAGACCCTGTTGACAATGGATGAGGGTTTGATGTGCCTACTTTAGCGGTGTTCTTTGCCTTGAACAATAAGGATTTAAAGATACGAAAAAGGCCAGAAAAGGTAGGTTGGTCTGGAATGAGGCCTTCATCGTCCAACATTCCCCGTTCTAGTGGGTCAGCCTCTGACAACCCCAAGTCCATCTGATGGATCGAACCCCCCCTCCATGGGAACATCCTGATCCTCAAATTCCACCTCCTCCCGAAGACCCTGGGCTGGTATGTTAGGAATATTGGGGAATACGTGAGTTTGATGTTGTTCCATATGCACAAAGGATCGAACGGACAGAGATCCCGCATCCGAAGCAGCCGATAAGTGTCTGGTCCTGATGGATTGCTGAACTCCAGCCGCAATGCCCCTTTGAATCACCATCTCTATCCATTGCCTCATTTTGATGGGGATAGTCTCAGGTAATCCCTCCTCCTGCCGGCGACCGTAGGGGTGAAGGTTGCCTCTGGGATTAGCCGGGCAATGCTCATTGGAGGAGTTGTGCCTATGGGAGATTGTCCAGAAATAGCCTGCCTAGGCTGGGTAGATAAGTCCAAGGGCCCCATCAATGGACTTAGGTCCTGATCAGATTGTTGTGTCATAGCCATCTTGTCTGCCTCCCTGGCTCGTTTCTGCAATTGCCTTTCCAAAGCAAGGTGCTGTCTATGGGCATCCTTATCCGCTGCCTTAGAGGCCTTTTGGGGGCCCACTGGCTTATCTCGGAATTTATTTGACTTGGAACGGAAAGCGTTGTCACCTTCCATTATGGATGACTGATTCTCTTGCCTCTGACTTTAATTTTTAATTATTATTTTTAAAATTATTTTTATTAATATTTGTACTTTGGGGTGATGCCTTCCCCTGTGGCTGAAAGTAGAACACTCCTCCAGGAGAGTAAGTCTATATATATCTATATATCTATATATACACGCCCATATACATATACATGTGCCTATATCTATATGTAAAACTGTGCATATGGTAAACAGTATCTAAGGGTCCCCAACAAGGGAAACCCCCAAGCACTCCAAGCGAGAACTTTCTGGATCCCTGGTCCCCAACAAGGGAAACCAGCTATACAGGATCTGAGGTGGATTGGAAAATTAGATAAGGTAATTGCCTGAGGCAGTCGCCTCAGGCTGCCCGCGGAGTGGCAGGCTCCGCTAGTTACAAAGAAACTGTTTTTAAACTGATCGAGGCAACCTAATAGAGGCACAAGCCTGAAAAAAGCCAAATTAAATGGGGAAGATTTTTACAAGCTGAAATAACCCAAGAGCAAACCTGAATCAGAAAACCATTCCAGTCAGGGAGTGCACAACCTCTTACCACGAAGGCTGAGCTAAAACTGGGGGACGCTGAGATGTCCCGTGGAGGAGGAGGAGTGTCCCAGAGTTTTACGTCCAGCCTTTCCAGAAGAGACTGAAGCACCTCCACTTCTGGATGCTCTGAACAGCTCATGGGAGAAAGGAAGGATTCCTAATTGTATGACGGTAAGATTTAATTCTTTTAAGAGTTAGATTAAGAGCAAAATGTTTTAAAAATGGGGGAAATGACAGTTGAAACCATTGCAGTTTTGTCGTAGATTGTTAAATATCTGCATCTCAATTCAGAAAATTAGTTGTTCCAATGTTTGAGAAACGGCATCAAATTAACAAATATATCACATTTTCATGTTGCATATTTCAGGGCTTAAATAAAATCTGCTCTTCTAAATGAAATATTCTTGCTCCCTGTTTTTTATCAGACTTTCTGAACATGTCACATTTATCTCTCCACATTAGTTTTATACTTTTAGCTCTCTTCATCTGATTCTTCTTCTCTTTCCTTGCTACCTTTATTTAACCAAACAGAGATCTTAGCTGTTTTTCAATAAAGATCAACAGTGCAAAAAAATAAACACTGCGTTGAATCTCTTTGTATTGCACTCATATTTGAGTGTAATATTATTACATTGAAGCAGAAAAGAGGCTTGAAGGAAGAAAATTCAAAGTACCCATACAGCTGATGAAAAGGTGTTGCAAAGCTCTGGGGCAGTAATGAATTGGATTTTAGACTTTCCATAGATTATTTCAAGATGGGCATTTTTGTGCTTATTGTTGGATTTTTTTTTTACTACACTTGAATCAATGTAAGATTGCAATTTTGATCAATAGCTTTTTTCCATTTCTATAGAATCTTTTCGGTATATGCATGTTTAGAGATTGAATTGAGAAATGTATAATTGAAGCAGGATATAAAGATAAATAAAATGATATTTAACATGAACACAAATATATATTTCAGTATTTAAATAAACCAGAATGAAATAATATGGGTACAATGTAATCAAGGATCCAGGATCCTAAAATGTTTTTTTTCTATGAATATATTAGAAAATAATTCTAGCATCCTTCTGTTACACAGTGGATGAATACATTGCTATAGCAAAGGAAAAACATGGATACAATGTGGAACAGGTAAGAATTTAAAAGGATTAATTAGTACAAGACAATTTAGCATTTTTCTTTGCAGGGCTTTGATCAGTAAAACTATACAATTATAAAATAACACGTATTGTTTGAGAAAACAGAGAAAATAAGTAATGTTTCATCTTTTGTTCCTTCTAAAGGAAGTAAAGGGGAAAAGAGGGCCCTTCAAATATCCCCAGGGAAGAGCTCTATAATAAAAAGGTCACTGGTAAAAGTCTCACTTCTGATATCAGCTAACCTAACTTCCAAAATGAGTGGAAAGTAGTGTTAAACTTCAGATTTGATTTGGATATGAAAGGGAAGATCTTCAAATTACCTCAGTGTCAGCTTATTTAGAGAATGAATGAAGCCTGTGGCCCTCTGGACAATTAAAATGTCAACTCCCATTAGATCCAGCCAGAATTGTCAGAGATGATGGAGCTGAATATTTTAGTCCCAAATTATCATTTTTATTTATTTAAACAAGTGTAGTTATTTCAGTGTAAATATTACTTGCATACTGTAGCATAACAGATACTGTTCAACAATGTAGTTGAAACTTCTTTGTGAGAATAATTCAATAATTTGGAAAGGCAAAAATCCTTTTTTTTTAAAGTAAACTCTTTGAACTTGATTATAGTTCAGTGTAGACTACAGAATATGGAATATAAGCCGAAGAAAGGGATTAAATGGCAGTTATGTTGTTGTTTGCAACAATATATTGTACAATGAGAAACTTTCCATTTCTTTTTTTTTACATCAGAATATATAGGTTGTATTGGAGAAAGTATTAAAAACGTTAAATGTAACTAGGTGGATAAAATGTGCCTTCTGACAAACCTGGATGTGATCTTGCACATCATTAAGATAACATAAGAAAGTAAAAGGTCAATATGGCACATCATGAAACTTACACCTGTTTGATTTTTTTTAAAAGGCACTTGGCATGTTGTTCTGGCATAAGCACAACATTGAGAAATCCCTTGCAGATCTCCCGAATTTTACTCCTTTTCCAGATGAATGGACGGTTGAAGATAAAGTCCTTTTTGAACAAGCATTCAGTTTCCATGGAAAAAGCTTTCACAGAATTCAACAAATGGTAAGGAAATAAATGGCTGCTCCACCCCCTTCAGAGTATTTCACAAGTGTCAAGAGAGTAAATGGTATATGATTGAAGACAGTGGCTAAGACAAACTACGCTAAGAATCATATTTTTCTTTCCCAGATAAAAATTTAATCTGTTTTATTTTGATCTAGAGGGCATATGGAGAAACTACACCAAAAGGAAAAATTCAAATTCATTGAAATAATACAATAGCCATAGAAAAACAGTTCCCCCAAATTCAAGATTCTCCAGATAGAAGTTGAGAAATATTCAGAATAAGTGACATAAATTTGTAAAATATGGAAATTAATTTTAAAAATGTACAAAAGAAGTGTTTAAAAAATTACAAAATGTATGAAAAGATACAAAATCATATTTCCTGATGATTTTGTTTAAGAGCATGAGAAGAAAAGGTGTAGTGAAATAGTAAATAAGTTATTGTTAGGAAAATTCGCACACTGAAAGTACTTGTCTCTGTTCTGGAGAAAGGGAACAGGATCATTGCACAAAGTTGTAAAATTCAAGTTTTACAGATTAACAGAGTTGGGAGGAACCTTGTAGATCATCTAATCCAACCCCCCCACCCAAGCGGGAGACCCTACACCATTTCTGACAAATGGCAGCCCAATCTCTTCTTGAAAGTCTCAAGTGATGAAGCTCCCACAACTTCCAAAGCAAACTGTTCCATTTATTATCTTTTCCAGTATCTTCCTGGGTATTGATGTTAGGCTGATTGGTCTGTAGTTTCCTGGGTCTGGTGTTTGTTTTTGTTTTTGTTTTCCCTCTTTTGAAAATGGGAACCACATCAACTCTTTTCCAGTCCTCTGGTGGTTCCCTGGTGCTCCTGGATTATTGAAAGATGCCAGTCTTTTATTAAAAGCAGCCATATGTGTGTGTGTATATAGACTGATACACAGAGAGTGAGACAGATTATATTGATATATAATATTTCCAATGATTACTATATGTCCAATGATTGGTTAAATTGTGCATTTGGTGCTAATTAAAGCTGACCATATACTTAACTAATTAGTGGAATATATGTTGGTGTGTTATTTATTCTTGTTCATTTATAAAATTACACCTTATATTTAAGTTATTTTCCACACATACTAAACTATGTGCCAATATTTTCATAGTATTTATAACTAGTGTCTGCATACTCTTACCATGTTTCAGCTTCCAGACAAGACTATTGCAAGCCTTGTAAAATATTACTATTCCTGGAAGAAAACACGTTCTAGAACAAGTTTAATGGACCGCCAGGCTAGAAAACTAGCTAATAGAAATACTCAAGGCGATAGGTAAGCAGTGCAATATGTGTTTTAAACAAGTAATTGTTCAGAGAGAGTAAGCGTTCTGTTTGTTTTCCTTTGACTGTTTCCAGTTTAAGGGAATAGGTTTTATGCCAGTTTGGTACTTTCAAGTTTGTTGAAATTATAAGTCCCAGCACCGCAAACACTGAAAATCTGGGACTTTCCAATATTTCTAGAGCACATCCAGTTGGGGAAAACTGTTCTATTTATCTCTACCTGTTTTTGTTAAGCAGATGGGAAACCCACTTCTTTATATCAGAGCATAGAATTTGTTAAATTGTAGCCACATATATTTTTGTGTTATTATAACCAATGAAAATAAAATGACATGCCATATACAGCATTTTTGACCTGGTGATCTCACATATATAGTTCTTTTATTGTTAATAGCTGAACAGACATCTCTTAAAGTAGCGGGGGGGGGGGGGCGCTTGACTTTTTAAAATATTTAGATATTTCTAGATATCTTGCAAGATAGAGAAGGGTTCTTTAAGATTTTTTTACAAAGCCTGTTTCTAAAATTATGTGGATTTGTTTTGATCATTGATAAACAATATTTTTTAAAAAACCTTACACATGAAGACAATTCACATTTTCTTTCCAGTGCATGCAAACAAGACCACAACAATCTATTGTGACTGTAGTGAATGTAGTCAACATTTCTGTTTCACAGTAGACTTCATCTGTAACTGATTCAGATTTCTGAACAGATAAACATATCCATAGTTTAGGGAATACTGCTAATACAGATACTGATTTTTCCTTCAACCTATTTGTTAGTTTTGACAAGGCAAAAGTGAATGTTTTTTCCTATTCACCTCAATATTTCTGATTGCAGCAGGGCACATGACATTGTATTAGAAACCAAGTATTTCAACCATTTTTTAGTCATTCCAAAGCAGGTATTTTCGTAGGAAAATTATTAGATGATTGTGTGAAGTCTCTTATTATGTTAGAGAAGGTATGCTTAATTGTAGATTTCTTGTAAAATAAGTAGAGTTTAACAGTCTTGCACATGTGACTAACACGCTTTAAATAGGATATATTTTAATTTACTTAGTATGGATATATTGCTTAAAAATTTTTTAAATCTTAAAGATATAAAATAAAGACATGAAATTTTAATAATTTGTAGTTGTGTATTTAAAAATAACTGAATTAGTTATATTTATAAAATTAAAGTGACATTTTAACATGTAGAATACAATAAACACAAAGTTTATTTGAGCACTTAGGGCAGAAACTGAGTTGTGAAAGTAAATATTGACTAATCATTTTCAATCCTCAGCGATGATGAAGTTGAAGAACCTCACCCTATGGATGGAAATGATAGTGATTATGATCCCAAAAAGGAAAGTAAAAAAGAGGTAATACAAACTGAAGCTAAATTTGTCACCTGAATTAGAGGTCCAATTTAATTACTATATTTTGGTCTTCAGGTATTGCTATCAGTGATAAGGATATTATGACATCGTAAAGGAACTTTAGCAGGGATTTTCGTTCTCTCCCTTACCCTGCATTTATGAGCAGAATTTAAATTTTGTGAGGTTGCTGAGTGTCAGATTTAATGTAATTAATTTCTTTTCCTGAAAATACATTGGAATTCGTTTATTTAGAAGATGGATATCTGTATCATTGGTTTATTTAGAACGTGAATAGCTATCATATGAATATACATATCATATAAATATACATATCATGTAAATATACATTGATATTTACACTGTATTTAAAATGCATTTAAATAACACCTATAATTATACTTCCTGCCCACTTATAATGCAAATATAGTTATTCATACAGAAATCTCACAAACTACTTATCATTTTAGGGGGTCATGGCAATATAAAGTTAGAGAACTCCCAGCTTATCTGATTATATGTCATCCATGTGGCCTGTTTTTGCCAAGGAAAACCTATACAGCTGATTTTATTGCATTGTCTGATCATATGTGATATGAAAAGTATGTGTTAAGAAAGATTTTAGAAAATTTGAATAGTACTGTGATACAATTGTGATAATTTGTTTTTAAAGTACATGCTTAATTTAAAAAATCATGCTTAATTAAAAAAAAAACTTTTCAAACATTGCAGGGGAATCATGAGCAGCCTGTGCAGTCCAGCAAAATAGGATTAGGTAGAAGAGAATATCAAAGTTTGCAACATCGTCATCATTCTCAGCGCTCTAAATGCCGTCCTCCAAAAGGCATGTACTTAACTCAAGAAGACGTGGTAGCAGTTTCATGTAGCCCCAACGCCGCCAATACACTTCTTAGGCAGCTGGATATGGAGTTGATCTCACTGAAGCGACAGGTATTTTAATTACCAGGTTTACTGGGGGGAGGTTGTGTTTTTAATATTTTAGGTTCTAGTAAACAGCAAAATCTGAAACATACCTATTAAAATGAAATGGTAGATTAAAAATACATTAAGTGTGTGAGTCTCTGCTTATTACAATAGATTAATGAGTTGAGACTTCAGCCTAATTGTTGGTTTTCTCAAGACTATAAGTAATAGCAAGAGTATTTAGACATCTATATTACTTCACACTGCTTTACAACCCTCTATAAGCGATTTACAGAATCAGCATGCTACCCCCAACAATCTGGGTCCTCATTTTACCAACTTCAAAAGGGTGGAAGGCTGAGTTAACTTTGAACTTATTAAGATCAAATTCCTAGAAGTGGGCAGAGTTAACCTGCAATATTGCATTCTAACCACCACGACTCTTATCCAAACTTATTGACTTCAGTAAAAGTAAATTCATTGTTTCAGTTTTACAGTGCGGTTTTATCAGTCTCTTAATCCTGTATTGAATTTTTAGGAGTTAAGGCTGAACCCAGACTGTTTTGTGTTCTCGTCCCGCCTGAGCCATTAAAGTCAACTGGGTGAACTTGGGGCTGTGTGTGTCTCTCCCTCCCACCCTCCCTCCCTCTCTCTCTCTCCATCTCTCCCTCCTGTGAAAAAGAGGAGGAAAGTGTGTTGGACTTGAGTTATTTATAAAAACAATAAAGGCAGGATATAAATAAATAATTAATTTTATATAGTAAAAGTTTCCAAATTTTCTTGGTTCATGGAACCTTTAGGGTTTTAGTAATTTTTTCACAGCACTCTTAGTCTTGTAGTATGCAGTGTCTAACAAATGCCAAGTATCACTTTGTTATTCCACAGAACCCCTTTGAGTTTGCTGTGGTGTCCAGGAGTGTCATGCTAAAGTTTGGAACCATGTAGCCTTTTGATTTCTATTAGACTCAGTCCCTTTAAACTGGAAAAAATGGTCTAAAAAGATAATAAATAAAAGTAAACTTGTTCTAATGCTTTCCCTATTTTCAGCAAGATAAATGTTTAAATGGAGTTTACGAAAATACAAAATAGCAAAGGATGGTAAAACCTGGAGAAAGAAAACAAGTGGTGATTTTATTCTGTATACTTATTCATGAGAACTTAATGAGGCTTCCCAATGGTTGAAATGAATAGCCCTGATTCTCAACTAGGTAAAAGCAGATAATAATGTTGGTCTCAGGTTTTACACCAGGAATTCAACATCTCATGTATATGCCACCTCAATTAATATAGATTCTAGATGGTACATCTATAGAAAATATAATCCTAAACATACATTAAAACAAACAATACTAATAATGTTTAGATAATCACACACGTTTTACTAACCAGGTTTATTTTTTGTGTGTGGAAGCAGGTAGTTGCTTTGCTCCTTGAAACAAGCTTCATCTCTTCAGAATTTTATTTCATTTCATTTCTACTTAGAGCCTTTGGTTTTAATTTTCAAGTAATCACTTTGCAGGGGATATTTACTCTATTTTGTAGCAGCTAATTTTCATTCCTGTTTTATTCATTGGACAAGGTCCAGAATGCTAAACAAGTAAACAGTGCACTTAAGCAGAAAATTGAAGGTGGAATAGATGAATTCAAACCTCCTGAGGTGAGTCATTGAAATGTAGGTGAATTTTCAGTATCGTTATTCTGCTGGGAACTGAAGAAAATCCTGAAAGTATTTGCTTTAGTGAAAAAAAAATCAATAGGAACCCTATATTTTAAAGCAAGTTTAAAAGTTTAAAATGTATCTAAAATATTTTACATGTTTTATTGAGTGACAACATTTTATTCAAAGCAAGTTCAAAAGCAAATTTCATACTGTCATAAAACAAAGATGTAAACAGAATTTAACACTTAATTACTTTTTGAAAGGATTGCTCCAATTGTACTTTCATCCTAGATTGTAGTCATTAGTTGGCATACAAAAATCCAGTGAAATTTTCAGTGTACTTGCTAGTCTGTATCAGTGATTGTCTCATTTATTTCAACTCTGAAGTGGGCTAGACCTACAAGATCTACTACATTAAAAAAGAATGGAGGCAGCGCCTTCTTACAAGAAGGGCAAAATGTCCCTATCATTTTCATGTAAAAGTTTCAAAAAATTCTGGTTTAAACTTTGAAAAATCACTGCTAGCTTTAGACAATATGTTTTGGATGTCAGCAGTTATTACTTTAGCTAGCATGCCCCCAGTAGCAAGGGTTTGTGGTTCAGAATATCTAGAAAGCATCAGTTTGCCTATCCCAGAGTTAGACCAAGAATCTAATGTTTTAAAAGATATTTTTGTATTCCTAATTCAGTTCATGAATTCTGGGGAAAACATTAAACTACTGAAATTGGTAAATGTAAATCTAGGTAATTGAAAGGTGGCCTTGTGGCTGAAATTTTCACTGTTGTTTTCAGATATTTAATGGTTTGCTATGTGCTGTCATTCTTTATTTCTTAATAGACAAATCAAAAAATAAATGCCCGTTGGACAACAGAAGAACAACTTCTTGCAGTTCAAGGTAGTTTAGTGTTACATATATATTTTTTTTCAGGTTGTAATGCTTGACATTCTGAAAGCATTTTTTGTTAAATGTGGCCATATATACATACTTGTGTTTCTTGGCACAGGAAAGAGTAGCAAGTAAGGAAATATATATGATACAAATACCACAAATATTTGCATTCAAATTTTTAATAAGGATGGACTTTGCACTGTGACATAATTTCATCATTTTAAAGTCAGAAAACATGGATAATGTGACTAATTTAAAATAGAATTAAGGAGGATTTTTGTATGCTGCTTATTAATACAAACGCTTTTAAACCTGTCAGGCATTACATTTTATTAAAAAAATGTAAATTAAATGAAAATAACAAGTTGAAAGATAAAATAGAAAGCATAGATTCAGAGCGACTCACCTGTCATCCATTGTGAGAACCCTCTTTGCTTAAAAGGAGGTAGCCAACTGCAAAGAGACTTTCCCAGTGGAAAAGCTGGAAAAGTTGAGATGTAGACATTGTTTTGAGAAGGAATCTTATTAGAGAAGATTCTGTTAAAAAAAGTTGTCACTTAATCTTATTTTTAAAATACAATTTAAGCATATTTATCTGGAATATTAACTTTAATCTTATTTATTTATTCTTTTTAAGGTGTCCGCAAATATGGTAAAGATTTTCAAGCTATTGCTGATGTAATTGGCAATAAGACTGTTGGCCAAGTGAAGAATTTCTTTGTAAACTACAGGCGTCGTTTTAACTTAGAGGAGGTATTGCAGGAGTGGGAAGCAGAACAAGGAACCCTGGCTTCTAATGGTGATGCTTCTGCTTTAGGGGAGGACACAAAAAACACTAATGTGTCGTCAGGAAAAAGTACGGATGAAGAAGATGAGGTGTGTTTCTGTTTACCAAATTTTAAATAAGCATGAGTTCGGAAATGGCATTTACATTTCCTATCACAAAATGTAATATTTAACGTGAAGTAGAATGCTCAATCAACAGCGTTGAAAGTTTAATGCCTCCTGATTTGTAGAGCTCTCTCATCATTGAGATTGTTTTAGCCAAATATTTCCAATCTGGGCTGCCTCTGGTTCTACCCACACTTCTAGTGATACTACTGATACAAAAAACATAACTGAATAATTCTTAGTATTATTCAATTTTCTTTTTTTTATATTGAATATTTTATTTCCTTACATTGCTAAATAATTTAGAAATGGTTGTTTTCAAAGAAAGGTTTCTTAGCTACAAATATGGCCCACTAACAGTGATTTCCTGTTTCTGGGGATAGCAGCAACCAAACTGAGATAATGAAGAATGGCTGCTTTTACATATTTTATCACTTTATTTATAGGCCCAGATCCCACAGACTCCTCATTGTGTAGGGTCTTCTCCACCAGCCCAGGCATCTACTCCAACACCAGTAACCCCTGTAACAACTTTGAACCAGCCTCCTCCACTGCTTCGTCCCACCCTTCCGGCTGCTCCAGCTCTTCATCGTCAGCCTCCACCACTACAGCAACAAGCTCGATTTATTCAACCAAGGCCAACCCTAAACCAGCCCCCTCCACCACTCATCCGTCCAGCTAATTCCATGCCTCCTCGCCTAAACCCAAGACCAGCACTGTCCTCCACTGGCGGGCCACAGCCACCTTCACTTATTGGAATCCAGACAGAATCACAGTCCCCGCTGCATTAAACAAATAGAACAGAACTATGGTAATTAAAGTAGTATCAGTGTTTATTTTCCTCAGCTAATGAAGAGGTGAAGGAAGGGAAAGCAAGCTTTCCACAGTGTTGAACTGTCACAAAGAAGAAGGTGGAAATGGATATATAATATGTGAACGATCTTCTGAGTGAGAGAAACTTCAGTGCAGTAGATTATTACAAAGAAAACCATGTCTACAAAGTCAGCATTTTACAAAGCTAACTTCTTTTTAAAAAAGAAAAAGAAAAAAAATTCACTGCACTATGACTTCAACTGATTTTTAGTCTATTTATTTTATAAAATCCTTTGTATTCAACTTCATGGAAGTAAACCATCTGGATAGTGTAAGAGTTTCAATTTAAGATTCAAACAGGGCTGTAAATGTGATAAACTGGGGAAATTATTTTTACATTTTCCTATGTTAGGAGCGCAAGTATTATTGATAAGCCATTCAGATTTTGACAGATACCACCACTTCTTACATTTTTCTAGGCTTGTATTTTCTATATTTCTTCATAAAGTACTTTTCTTCAATCTACTTGTTAGAAAAGTCTTGAAGAATGCAAAGCTAAGGTACTAAAGAGGTTCAACTATATATATGGTCTTCTGATACTGGAAACATGACTTGCTAGTGCAAACTCTATGATAGACAGCAACTGAGCTACCATTTGCATCCAACACTAGTAGCCAAATGGCTAACAAAGTCACAGTTGTCTTCTTTTTAATAAACTTTGTAGTACTACTTCTTACCTAAAATTTTATTCTATTAAGTTCTGGAAATAATTTAGCAAGGAGTGCTGAATTCCATACATATAGGGGCATAGTGAAACAGTCAAATATTAAGAATGTTTCCTGCTTCATTTCTTGGGATATCTGTCTCTTTTTGCTGTTCCTTGCCAGTGCATGTCCCCCCCTTTTTTTTTCTTGGTATCAAAAAAGATGCCAACTCATGCTTAATCAGTTGGAGTTTAACTATTTATCATCAAAGTGACATGTTTTTAATTTTGAGCAAGAAATACCAAGCAATGAAAATCTATTTTCTGAAAGATGTGCATCTCTTCAATACAGCTGACTTCCCCACTTCTTACTGAAGCAACAGTGTTTTAACTTTAAAAGTTAAAATTTGGGATGATTTCATGTATAGCAAAGCTGTACTGGTCTCTTATGTACTGCATTTTACAGCTCAAATATCAAAATTTTTAGACTAACACCTTATCATGATTAAGGTATTAAATAATTTGCCCATTAACTTTCATGTTCTTAATTTTTTAAAATTCTTAATTTAAATCAAATTTCATTTGTAGTATATTAAATAGAAATCCCTTCAATGGATGTCTCTTGTACATTATCTGTATCCAACCAGAGTGTTTGGTTTTTAATACTGGCTTTTCAGTGGGGGTGGGTGGAAGCATCACTATCCCTTGTCATAATTCTTGGTACTTCACTATATTTGACCTTTGGTTCCAATGTCAATATTAATCCACTAGAATTCTTCCAATCTGCCATAGTCCTGTTTGTGCATTTTGGCATAACTCTCTAAATACCAAACTATTAACAATGCATCTTCAATATTTAAATATGTAGATCAGGTTTCCCAGTGACTGTATTGTCTTTTTTTTGGCTAACTTTTGTCTTGTCTCTTGTTGCTAGAACTTCAGTATGCAGAAGATTGGGTGCTGCCATTTAAATGGCAATTTTAGACTATCGAAACTATAACTGGGCACTTGTGTGTTTGGGTATGATGGTATAGTATGTAGTATAATACTGCTTTACATACGCTATGCCACACAGTGACAAAATGTTTAGCATTTGTAGTACTGAATATGTACATAGCAAAATGTTGTCCTTTAAAAAATTGTGTGCTTTCCAGATTATGTGCATACAGCTTGCACGTCCTGTTTTGGGTAGGGGGTTGTGTTAAGCAGTGTTTTTGCCTGGAGGAGTGAAATGCTTGCTGCTTAATCAAAGAATTAAAGTTTCCAAGGAATCTGTGTCTATTTTTATGTACCTTGTAATGGTTTAAGATACTTAGGCCCTATACTGTGATTCTCTTCTAAATTCATTTATATTTTTTTAATGATTAGAAATAAAACTATACAATTTTTTTTCATTTCAAAGAAGTTTTCTTTTTGGGCAATATTATAAAAATCTAGTTTGACTTTGTACCATTTCTACAAACCATAATCTTCATCTTGGTTTATTTTTGTCACTTTATGAAATGTAAAAAAAATTTGCACTCCCTTTTAAGTTGGGCAAAAATTTATTTCTTACAGTGGTTATGACAAATGTAACTTTGCATCTTCTTTTTATGTACAGTTTTCAGTTACAATAAAGAAATATAAAAACTTTTAAATGAATGGCCATCTATAAGGCCTATGTGTATATTTGGAGAAAACATTTCTAGGCTGAATTATTACGTGGTTGGAAAAGAGGTTTGTGACTATATATGCAGACACTTCAATTATAAATTAAAAATGATGGAACAATAAATTCTTGATACTGCAGTTATAATATATTCTTAAACAGGAAAAACGTAATGCCTGTAAGACAGGTATATGGGACACACATTGTATACCTTTTAGAATATAGGATTACATAATTTTGAAATGGTTAGATGTACTCTTTGATCCATTCATCTGTCACATCTGAATAACATATATAATAGTAATAAAAATCAAAGATAGAAAAGTATAAACTATTCTGAGGATAAGGTAATTGATAAAAGTTAAGAATACATTTAGAACAATCTTGAACGTTCCCAAAAGATTTTTTGTATAAGCATAGAAAGACTTCCATCAAATAGCTTTCTAATACTTCCGAGCAAATCATCCAAAGACTTGTGGCAATCTTGGGTTTACAAATTCATTTGCAGCACATATTTCTTTTTCATATTTTGCTTTCTATATTCTATCTTCTCTCAAAGATACTGAAGCTAACATGTATAATCTCTGATCATTATGCAAATAGATTTTAAAAAGAAGAGAAAATTGAAATAATAAAAAAATGTGTTCTTCCATATTTTTTCTTTACTTCTTTTCCAAGCCCATTTATGAACATGGTAGATAACTGGTTGTTTATTCATGCATATTTATATTGTTTATACCCTGTCTTTTTATTGTTTTGTACAAATAAGGTGGCAAACATCCACCTCCTATTTTCCCCACAATTAACCTATTGGGTTGAGAGAGAGTGACTGGCCAAGATAATCCAGCTGACATTTATGGTTAAGACGGGACTGGAACTCACAGTCTCTTGCTGTCTAGTCCGATGCCTTAACCACCAGGCCATATATTGCTTTTGTTAACAATAATTTGGCACTTTAGTGTTGAAATATTTATTTATTAAAGGTATACATCTTGCTATCCAAAGAGACTAGGTGGCTTGCTATAGGAGTATGAAACCCAGGAATGTCTTATCAAGTTCTTTTTGTATTAACCAACCATTTAATAATTTTCATAATCCAATCTAAATCAAGATTGGGAGCCTATATACCTTTGCATATTTATATTTCAGAAATCATGACAAATACATTACTTACCAATAATCTGGTTGAAAAACTCTGCATGTTTTCACTATGCCATGGAAAAAGGATCCCTTTAGTTCATTTAGTTCTAGAAATCCATCTAGCACACATTATTATCCAAACAACACATATACACACAATACATATGCAGTAAAACAATGAATCAAAGAAAGTGTCTGGTACTTCAATCAAAATGACAAAAATAGAACTGAATGCAGCAGCAAACTCCACCCTTTTTGTATATGGGTGCATATTCTATTGCTTTCAAAGTAAACTTGACCCTAAACTTCTATTTCCACTGCTTATGTGTCAGTGGTAAACAAATAAACTTGGACAATTGTCACATTAAAAGATTCTCCATGAAGCTTATTTGACATCAGTTGACCAAGTCTTTCATATATCCTTTGTTTCTATGGTGTTTCACAACACCATTGTGAAAAGTGATGCAGACAAATATTTATAAAATATATGTCAAAAAATGGAAGGGAAAAACCCAACATGCTTTTAGAGTAAGTTATGGTTCAAGAGGTAAAACCAAGGCTGAACGTTTTAGGCATAAAGCCTGGCGATTGAGCAAAGACTTTCAGCACCAGGTAAAGGCAGAGAAAGATGCCTGAATCATGACTACCAACAACTAGAGAAAACCAAGTAAAAGAAAAATGAGTTGTTTTTAAAAATATAGAACTCACTGATAAATTTACAGATAAGGTAGGAATACTTAAGCTCTACAAGAAAAACTTCTAATAATAGGCAAATGGCTACCCTTCAACTTACAACCACAATTGAGCCCAACATCTGTTCTTAAGTGAGACATTTGTTAAGTGAGCTTTGTCCCATTTTACCACATTTCTTGCCTCAGTTGTTAAGTGAATCACTGCAGTTGATATAAATTAGCAACCCCACTGAATCTGGCTCCCCTATTGACTTAGCTTATCAGAAGGTTGCAAAAGGTGATCACATGACCTTGGGACCCAGCAATTGCCGTAAGTATGAATCAATTGCCAAGCATCTGAATTTTGATCACATGATCATGGAGATGCTGCAAAGGTCCGAACTGAAAAATGGTCATAAGAGACTTCAGTGCTGTTGTAATTTTGAATGGTCACTAAAGGAACTGTTTTAAGTCAATGACTAGATGTACTAAAACTTCTGCACTGGAGACTAGGTTTGCAGAAACATTTTTAGAGATAATGCAAATATAGCATCTGATTCCATTTTAAAAATGACATACGAGAATCAGTAGCGATCTCAGGCCAAGGCTGCTCTCTACACTGTATTTGCTTCCATGACTAGAACTATATAGATTTAAGTGTCCAGTGCAGGGATGGTCCACTGTCCATTCCTAACAGCATGTGGCAATGTAATCTCCACTGTTTGAAAACCTTAAGGCAGATGGAGTTTCCCACTCTTCTAGGCAGCCTATTCCTCTGCTTGGGAACTTTTAGTGTCAGGGGATTCCCCTCAATATTCACCCAGATTGACACACACACACACACACAAATTTCAGCTCTTGACTCTCAAGTGAAGGAATGTGTGTGTGTGTTTTATTTTTATAGTTATAATATACACTGAAGATGGCATTTAATTTCGTTGTAGGAGGTGCAATGATAATAAAGTAAACTAAGTCTTTCTTTTGATCTTCTCCACCTAAGAGCCTTTCAGATGCCTGCAGACCATTATGCTACTTGCTCTTAAATATTAACTTTTGCCAGCTATAAACACGCCCACATCTTGCCATACAGCCAAGGTTTGCTTCAGGCAGAGATCTCCAAACTTGGCAGCTTTAAGACGTGTGGACTTCAACTCCCAGAATTCCTCAGCCAGCTGGCTGGCTGAGGAATTCTGGAAGTTGAAGTCCACACGTCTTAAAGTTGCCAAGTCTGGGGACTCCTGACTTAAGGAAACCCTCTACCTATCCCGACTGAGTAACCTAACCGGAGTCGCGCGTACACAATACCGTACTTCGCCGCCCACAGAACCGAAGGCTGAACGCGGCCTCGCGCATGCTTACCTTCGGGAGTCAGTGAAGTAACTCGCAGTTCACACTTCTGAGAAAGAATGTCGCCGATTGGCTGAAACCGAAGTTTCGCTTGCTGCCTTTTTTTTTTTTACCCACAAAAGGTTTCCAAGCTTCATGAGGAGGAGGAGGAGGAGGGGCCCAGGAGGGGGGGAAAAGGGCACATTCGCGAGCCCGCCCTTTCCGACGCCTCTCATAGAGCGGTTGGGGAGGGGGGGGCAGGGGGAATCCCAAGTGCCTCGAGGCGCGCGTGCCTTTAGTTCAGATCCTAAGCTGGGTCTCGCCTCGCTTTCCAAGGTTTTACCTTCCAAGCGCGCTTCTGGCGGGACGCCTTGAAGGGTGCCGGGGTCGGCGGCCGCTGCGGAGGCGAATGCGGGAGTTGTCGCTTCGGGACGCGCGCCGCAGGTAGGTAACCGAAGCGCGTTTTAGAGAGAGTTTTATCCCTGTCCAAGCCAGTTACGGCTCCCTTAACGTTGCGGCTCCTTCTCTTTTTTTGGTGTTTTATAGTTGAGCTAGTGGCTTCACAAGGACGCGCGCGGAGCTTGGGGAAAAGGTGCTCAAGGCGTGGCTAATTCTACAGTTTTGTAGGCTGTTAAGTTTTTTTTAAAAAAAAATTTTTTTTAAAAAGCTTTGCAGGAAGAAAAATCCATCCGGTTCAATAGTTCCAAGCTGGGAGAAAGGCGCTGGGAATAAAATGAAGGCTGATTGGAAGGAAAGTTTTATTGATGAGCAGAACCACAAGCCTGCAGTTCTGGGACAGCTGACCAATTGGCTTGAGGGGTGCAAGGATTTTTCTGCGGTTTCTGAAATGCTGCAGGGATTGTACAAGTGTAGGGAGCCGGGTGTCTTCTGCTATTCTAACGGTGGTGGGTTAATCCTATTACGTCCTAAAAGATCAAATCCTGTCCTTAGAATCTGGGTGGGAAAAGGATGTAAATTTTAATCCCGTAGCATGGAGGTGAAGGTGTTTTGTTTGTATAATAGGCTGGCCTAGGATTTCTTAATGGGCACCTGCTGTAGACTATTAAAAAAGACTGGGGGCTACTTTCTGTCTCTAAGAGCAGGGGTCTCTAACCTTGGCAACTTTAAGCCTGGAGGACTTCAACTCCCAGAATTCCCCAGCCAGCTGGCTGGGGAATTCTGGGAGTTG